CAGTCGATGGCAAGGTAGGTACAGCAATTGGTATTTGGTCATATCCTTCTTCGAAGGAATCATTCTGGATTGGTGTCTGTGCTCGGATTTTCCTTCGTATCCTACCTAGTGGTTGTGGCTCTTGTCGTATAGCTGTGCTCATACAGTTGTCATTCGTTATTGATGAACCAAATTCGCAGGATATCATGGCACCTAGTATGGTAGAACCGAACCGCAGTTCGGCCAAGGCTTTGCCCAATATTTATGCTCCTTTGGTTAGCTTTAATTCTCTTTATTGTATTGGTCCGTTATGTGTTCGATCTGCCGTTTGTTTCTATAGTATTTTGTTCATGGCGTTCATTCTGCCACTGTATGGCGTCAAGTATGACTCGGTGGTAAGGATCTACCTTAGTAGAGGCGGGATGGCTTGAGGCTCTGTCCATGCTTTTGCTTATGATTAAATGGCCATCTTCTGTGTCTTGACTATCAAAACTAATTAGTCCACCGAGGTATTGTGGAAAAAAGCCAGTGATTTTACATGATGGAGGAGTTCGTTGTTCGTGAGAGTGCATTTGTCCTTAGAGGCGATACGTTGTCCCATGTCCTACCAACCGTAGTTAGGCAGTCGTTAGTTTTCTCAGGGCATTGACCACTATCCTGGCATTGACCGCCAAAATGTCACGTAACGTTTCGAGTGACGACAAATAAAATGTTTATCTCCAAGTAGATCGTGTCCTTTATTAATTACAAGTGACGTTAAGCTACGCGTTGCCTCGAGTCTCATTCAGGGCAGACTTTTGTGCGGTTTGACCGCTCTTCTATTATGGTCCGTTACCTTGTCGTCGGATGCGGCAAGGTTGGTAATCTTGCGTTTGTTGTGTAATATGAGTGCTGGTTCCGGTGACGTCAGTTAGGCATTTTGGGACGTCACACTTGCGACACGATGGCGATGGAAAGTGTAGTTCGAGACTTGACCATAAGGTACCAATTAATTGACTGAATTGAGAGGTTGTGGGTATCAAGTGGTCAAAGGGTATTTAACCAGGCAGTGCTAGGAAGGAAGGTGCACTTCCTAAGCAGTAGTTGATTGGGAAGGGCTGAGCTTTAAGGCAGGGATGAAGTTAAGGATTTCATCGAGGGTTTGTAGCGCTTTGGTTCTTTAGGGCAGGTTATATAGGTATTGCGTAAAAATAGTAAGTATATTCTGTCAATTAATAGGGTCATATAATTCAACAAACTATCCTCGTCATGTTTGCAAGCCACGGCAGTATAAAAGGTATATGACTTAATTCGAGCTGCACTACGCATGTGCTACTCGAAAATTACGAGCGTAGTTTTTAAATCGGACGAAGTAATTACTGCCGAATTTCGGAATGAGTTCAATCAATTAATTTATTAATTAATTTTCAACCATGATTGAAATCTGCCGATTGGTTAATGCTATGTATATGACTAATTATCGCATTAGACACTATTATCATTCGCCTCATACTTGACTAATGACGATTATAACAGTTAGCAGTACCTTGATTGTGTTATTGTACTCTCCTGGTTAGCAGCATGTCAACATATTGTCTGTACAGTTATACTAATTTCGCTGCCCACGTTTGAAGAAATGACTTTAATGAAATTTTCCGTGACCGGCGCATTAAACGAATTTCCATCAACTGTTTGAAGGAACTTTGGATTAAGCATCATCCACTTCTGACTCAATTATAATATTAAGTTTTACCTTTCCGATTTCCATTTTTCATTTCCCTTTGCGCGTAGTATCAGTAGATCGAAGCTTACCCAAAGACGATATTTGCAGCGCAAAATCTGGGATTACACGCCAACAGTCATATTCGTATTCACGGAAAGGAAGGGGAAGCTTATTGTGCAGGGTTTGGTACTCCTTCGGAATGAGCCGTTGAATCTTTGTCCACTGTTACTCTTTCCTCCGTCCACAAGTTTCATCTGGATTGGATGGCGCATCGGAATGGAAATAGAGAACGTTGATTATTTATGCATGAAATTTTTTAGATCTAGCACTACAGCTGCGCGCTGCCGGACGTAGCACAGCAATGCAGAGCAATAAATAGCACCGAATATTACCGCATAGCACAGCACCGCTCACTATTGCACAGGACGGCGCCTCTTCGAGCACCACCGTTACCATAGCACAGCATTTCATTGCACAGCACAGCATTGGATAAAGCCGCAAACAGAGCGGGGCACAGCAGCGTGCAGCCTGCCGAAGGAGGACGCACCAGTGCGCAGGACGACGCAAAGGAACCCAGTAATGCTCCGAATACCAAAGAACAGCTGCGAATAGCACTGTTTCCTTGATTAGCGTAACTGGTGCTAACCACAACATGACACAGCAGAGCGCAGGATAGAGCATCAGAGGGCAGCAGAGAAATATGAGGCACCGTATAACCACCATCTGGAGCCATTAGCACAAATACCTAACCAAACCGAACACAAAATACCCAAGCTTATCCTACGCTGACACAATAAAGCTTAACTGCAGCAGTGGCAGTCAGATCGTTGGAAAGTGCAGCAGGTCCCTGTGATGCGCAGAATCCATCGAATAGCAGCGAAATGTACAGATTCCGAACATATCCTAGCCTATCCAATCCAAGCCTGTCTCACCCTAATATCACGTGCCATACTTTCCGCAACCTAACTGCAGCTGGGATCAGCGGAATGCAGGAAAACGACGCAGACACCAGGAGAGCACCGTAATGAACCGAATGCCAGAGAATACTAGCGAAAACCACATATCTGAAAGCCAAGCTAGCCTACCCTAGCCTATCCACATTTGAGCTCGGCATAGTGCAGTTGAGGACATCAGAGCATAGCACAATATATTAAAGAGTCGAGTACCACTGGTGGCAGCGCATAGCGCAGCTGCCTACCCTAACATTACCCATCGTTGCATACCTGACCATACCATAGTGGAGCATATCCGTGCAAAACGTAGCGAAGTAGAAGAGAGCAGTGCATAGTGAAGCGACGAAGACAATCGTATCGCAGCGAACAGGGCATACTCATGTCTTAATCAAATCCGACTTGCCTCATAAACTGTACCTTCCCAAACCTATCCAGAGCGGGGCATCGCAGTGCCCACCAAAGTGCAGCTGAGGGCACCAGACCACACATAGGGGCTGAATACATATGAATAGCACCATTGACATTGGATTAACCTATGCACTGATCTTTAAATACTATAGCAATTCCAGAATGGTCAAGAAATTGACTAATTGTTGCTGGAGACATTAGCTATTGAATATACTGTACTGGCTGCAGCCATCTACACAATATTATTTGCAATGGTATAATCTATTTACTGGTCATACAAGTTAAACGTCGACGATAGCATGGCGAAAGGTTAAATCAATTACCGCCAGAGACATCAACAACTGGCAATACAGAAATGGTCGACAGGCATTTCCCCAGTTATCACTTGAAGGGCCTCTGTTGAAATTGCTCGGTATGCCTTCGTGACTAGAAGCAGGGCCATTCCCTGCGATCTCTCGAGGATCTTGTTCGTCTTCAGGCTCAATAAGTCGCACCAGCCGGCTAGGGTGTACGTGGCGATCTGGACAAAGAGCCCCCTGTATAGGGTGGTTAAGGATCCCCGTCCGAGACCCCAGTTGGCCTTGGCCGATTTTGCAATGCTATTGAACATCCTTCTGCACTTGTGCGCTGTTCCTTGCATGTGCTTCTCTATCCTCAGGCCGTGATGAAGATGAACGCCCAGGTACTTGTTCCATGGGCGCATCCTGATACTTTTCCCCTTGATGCGAATTGTTGGTGATCGTTCGGCGTCGAGCTTCCCATCCACAAACAGCATCTCCGTCTTCTCGGCCGACAGTGCTAGTCACTTGCGGCTGCACCATTCAGAGGTTGTTGTGACCGCTGATTGCCCTTCTGGCCGCAGTTCCTCCATCGAGTTATCACCAACTAGAATCTTTATGTCGTCGGCGTAAGCGACCGCTTCACAATGGGTTTCCTCGGATTCGAGATGCGCCAGCATGTCGTCGAAAACAAGATTCCAGAGGCTGGTGACTAGTATAGACACTTGCGGGCAACCCATTTTTACTGGCTCCACGACAGGTTCGTACTTCACCATAAGCTGGACTCTCCTGTCCGCGAAGTAGCTTTGCGTTAGCTTGTGCATGCTTTGCCCGTAGTTCTTCCGCTTCAGTTCTTGGAGTATGTTAGGCCACCGCACGTTGTCGAAGGCACCCGAAATGTCCAGTGCGATCGCTAGAATGTACTTCCACTCGCTATTCTCATTGATCGCTACTCGTAGCTTCACAATTGCGTCCTCTGTCGATTTTCCAGGACGGAATCCGAACTCTCTCTCAGATGACAGTATATGGTTGCGGAAGTGTTGGGACACCCTTTCCGCCATTAGTCGCTCCAATAACTTGCCAATCATTGAGAGCAAGCACATACGACCTTTGGCCACTTCTTTCTCTGTCCTGTCCTTGGAGAATAGTAACAATGTTACCGACAGTACATCTTCTCGGTAAGAATCCCCAATCCAAACAGGCGTTGCCGAGAATCACTAGCTCTTGACGAATAGATCTCCAAGCTTCCTGAATCACCTCCGACTCGATTCGGTCGGGGCCAGGTCATTTGCCTCCTTTGACACGCGCTTCGGGGCCAGGTCATTTGCCTCCTTTGAGACGCGCTATCGCGCAGCCCAGTTCCTCGTACCTGAATGTGGGGCTCTCTGCGGGCTCCGGGGCATTCTTGGAGTCCTCACGGATCCACCGTTGCTCGGGTGTGTCTTTTTCCACGGCGTCATTTGGAACGAGCGCGGTTAGCATCGTCCCCGCCGTGGATCGCCAGCTCTAGGTTTCTCCATGCGGCATGCGGTGTGAGCACGTCGCCTCTCCTCTCCTCAGTTTCCCGAGGGCAATCTTGTAGGTTGTTTCCCAGGGCTCTATGTTGCCTTCTTCGGTGACGAACTGGTGCCAGTTTTGGATCTTCGCGTTCGTCACCATTCTGGAGTATTTCTTTCGTACCTAGCGGTAGCGCTGTTCCTCTAAATCCCTCGTTGCAGGGTCCTTGGTCCGCTGGAACCTTCTTCTTGCTCGGTACGCATCCCTATTCGCACGTGTGAGATCTTGGGTCCACCAAGGTCTAGACCATTCGTGCCATTTCTTCTTCGGCATGGCCGCACTGCAGACTTTGGTGAGAACTCGCTCCAGCTCTGCGACCATACTCTCTATGTCCGCATGGCACTTGATCCACTTTTCGGACATGTTCCTCTTTTCTTCGAAGTCGTGCTGGTGGAACATTTCCCAATTGGCCTTCCTGGCGTGGTAGCGTTGTTGTAGTGGTGGTGGCGGTGCTTTCCTCTTCTTGAGGTTAAGTCGCGTCTCCAGTATTCGGTGGTCGCTGGATTTTCCGTCCTCGTGCAACTTCCAGTTTTGCACGAGCGGTAGTGCTTCCGGAGTGACGAGCGTCACGTCGATGATAGATTTCCCGCGCGTTGCCTCAAACGTTGTGACGTCGCACGGCCGGTTAAGCACCAACGGACCGTGCTGAGAAATCAGGCCATCGAGGGGCTCGCCGCGTTGGTCGAGCTCCCTGCAGAACCACAGCGGCGACTTAGCATTGACGCCCGCTCCGACGATGACCCTTTTGCCCCGCAGGTACAACAGCACCTTATCCAGCTGCGCGATGCCGACTTCAATATTTTCCTATAGCGAAACGTATTGACTGGCCGCGTGTACATCGGCGTCTCCGTCGCTTGTCTATACACAAGCGCAGTGTCTCGTGCACAAGCTGGCGACATTGAGAGCCGGGATGTGGTTTTCTCTAATCCCCACCGGCACGAGAGGCGAGGCGCTCTTGTCTCCGCGAAACACGATCGCGACGCTCGTCCCTAATCCTGGTATTATACTCGCCATTGTGTAGGGCTCCTGCATGAGTATGATGTGTGCGCCCGTTATCTCCATCTGCGACCTAACCTCGTAGGGCACTACCCTCGATCTCTGCATATTCTGCTGTGGCATACGTATTTCCTCCGTCCGACCGTTCTTCTTCTTATACATAAACGGTTCTTGCAATTGACCCCTCCAGTTCGGCGTTGTAGGAAGGGCAATTCATGTTGGAAGCTGCATGATAGCATTTCTTGCCGCTTCGTTTGCAGTTAACACGTACTTCGTTTCCCTTCCTTCTTGAGCACGCTTTCGTATCGTGCCTGGGCTCTGCACAGTGAAAGCTAGTGTCGTGCTTCTGCCTACAGTGCTTCGCTAAATGCCCGAAACCTTGGCACTTACACCAGCGCCTGACCGCGACGAAGTCCCGGAATTTTCACGCATTCCACGATATAAACAATTTCCCGGATATCATTTTACATCGCACATTCGGGCTGACTTCTAGGACGCTGTTGGTCTCTTCGCTGTCCTTCCTCCCTGTGCGGAAGCACAATTTTATTTCTTCCACTTCCGCCTCTCCAAGCTTTTCTTTGTTCTGCTTCCTTAATCAAGCTCGGATCTCCTTTTCGGACAGTTCGCTTGGGATGTCGTGTATGAGCATCCTGGGTGTATTCCCAGCTGGCATCCTTGCCTTCAGGCCGATGCCCTCTAGCTTGGCGTTCTCCGTGAATGCCCCGAGGTCTTCTGCGGTAGTTCTTTCTACCGCAATGCTGTTGCCTCGTGCGTGGCGTAATGGCTCCACTTGGTTTCCCCTCGTCTTCGCGTTAACCAAGGTGAAGATAGCTTCGTGAGCTTCCTCACTCGTTCTAATGTCGGTATCATCCGAAGTCGATGTTATAATTGCCACGATCTTCGGTGGCACTATTGCTGCTGCCGGCACTATTATGCTCGACACGTTGAGTCTGTCGGCGTAAGAAGTTTGACCGTTCCCCGCGGCCGAGGCTGTGGCTCTCATAGCCGCGGAATCGAGGCGCTTTGTCACTTCCATTGTCCAGCCATCGGCTTTGTACTATTATCATTCAGTTACCCTATTCACTTATAAACTGAATACCATAACAATTCTAGAAGAACCAGCGGATATATCAATTACCGCCAGAAAAATTGACAATTCGCTATACGGTTCTCAGAATATCCATCTTCACCTTACTATAGCAATTGCATTAAACTATTCACTAATCACTTATGTTCCATAGCAGTTCTAGAATGATAATGAGTAGAGCCGGCTACATAACACTAAAGCCCATGCGTTAATCTATGCACTTATTATTCTTACTCCACAGCAATTCTAGAATTATTAATGTGTATATCAATCATCCCTCGGCATATTGACAATTGACAATACACTACTACGTATATCCCTCAGCAGAGCACTATAGCCATTGGAAAAATTTACTCTCTGATCACATAATTTCTACAGCAGCTTTCGAATGACCACTGGATAGACCAATTGCTGTTGGTCATATTAGAATTGACACAAAAGTACATGGTATGGTCATATACAAAGCACTGTAACCATTGTTTTCATGTATACACTGACAACCTATATTCTTTATCAGTGACAAATGGACTATTGGATGGGTCAATTATCGCTGGAGACATTAGCATTGAACAATCCTTTACTGAGGATATGTATCTACACTGTACTATAGCCATTATATTAATGTACACACTGATAACCTTAATCCTATAGCAATTCTAGAATGAACAATGTATAGTTCAATTATTGCTGGAGATGATAATATTCAGCAAAACTGTACTTAATATAGCCACCTACGGCATACCATACCCATTGCATCAATATATTCACTGACGGCTCACATTTCACAGCAATTCAGGAATAATCAATGGCTACATCAATAGTCGCTACAGACATTCAGAGATGAGTGTACAGTACTGAGTGCTGTCGCCTTAGCGGAAATATAGCCAAATACGCTTTAACAACGCCATTGAATAAATCTATTCAGCAAATATTCAAATTCCGTAGCAAGTCAAGAACTATCAATGCATGGATCAATAATCTCTAAAGACCTTAGCAGTTGTGAAAACAGTAGAGTGCATAGCCGTCTAAACAGTACTACCTACATAGCATTAATCTATTCACTGATTTGCAAATTTGGGAGCAATTCTTCATTTATCAATAGCTAGATGTATTATCGCTAGATATATCAGCAACTGAGGTTACAGTACTCAGCATAGCCGTAGGCACAGTGTTATAGGCAATGGAACAGTTCATCCACTGATGATCAAAGTTTCATAGCAATAATACAAGGATGAGTGGATACTTCAAAAATCCCTAAAAGCGTTAACAATCAACAATACCGAGCAGTGCATATCCACGGACACAGTTCTTCAGCCATTCGATTAATCTACTCTCTGATCACTTAACTATCATAGCATTTCTAGAATGATAAACCGCTAGATATATTATCTCATGAAATATTGACTGTTGACCATACAGTCGTGAATGTTGCAGCTTCAGGGAAATATAGCCATCTACGTAGTACTCACGCCAATGCATTAATGTGTTCAGAGAAAATTTTAATTCGACAGCAATTCCATATTGATCAATAGGTGGATGAATTTTCGCTTGAAATACCAGCAATTTGTAATACGGCACATAGTATAATTATCTACGCATTACTATAGCCAATGCATTAATCTATTCACTGAACACATAAGTTGCAAGGCAATCCTAGAATAATCAATGGATTTGCCATTTATCTCTGGGGATATTTTCAATTAACAGTACAGTACATGGTAGAGCCACCAACAATGAGATATAGCCACTGCAATAAGAGATTATTGCAATCATCGCAGTACCGTAGCCATTGATTAATCAATTCAGTCGTTATTTAAGTCCCACAGTATTTCAAGGATTATCAACGGATGAATCGATATTCTCTACTGATATTATTAATTAACAATACAGATTATAGCCACCTACACTGTTTCATATCCATTCCATTCATCTATTCACGGTTATTGTCAGTTCTAATGCAACTCTTGAGCAATGGATGTATTAATCTTCATTTGTAACGTTAGCAACGGATAACGCATTACTTAGTGTATCCTCATACGCAGTATTATAGCCATTGGACAAATTTTTTAGTTATCATGTGAATTACACGGGAATTCAAGAAATGCATATGGATGGATCAGTTATCTCTAGAGACGTTAGCATTGAACAGTATACTACAGACTATTGCCATCTACACTGTACCATATCCATTTGATTAATCTATTCACTCATCATGTAGGTTCTATGGGAATCCTAGCCTCATCAACGTTTAGGTATTATCGTTGGAGATATTGGCAGTTAACAATAGGGTACTGGGTGCAACAATCGACGTTGCTCGGCAGCAATAGGATTGATCTATTCACTGGCCATTAAGTTCTATAGCAGTTGTGGAATGACCGTTGGATAGGTCAATTATCGCTGGAGATATGGGGAACTGACGCAACAGAACTAAGTATAGGCACCCACGCAGTACTATAACTATTGCATTATCATATACACTCTTCATGCAAGTTCTGTATGTATTGTAGATTGACTAACGTGTTGTTCATTTATTTCTAGAGGTGACAATAGTTAGGAATATAGTACCGGAAATAGCCCTTTACGGAGTACTATAGACATTGCATGAATCCACTCACGGATCATTTTATTGCCGAAGCAATCCTATGATTATAAAAGCGTGGAGCAATTATGTCTAGTGAAGGTAACAATCAACAATACACTACAGACTATAGCCATAGACGCATTACTATATATATTGCATTAATCTATTCACTGATCATGTAATTTCTATAGGAATTCTTGGTAGAACGGGGGACAGACGAATTGTCGCTTGAAATATTAACAATTAGCTACAAAGTACTGAGTGCAGCCATCAACACATTACTATAGCCACTGGACCAACCCTTATTGTGATCATCCTATTTCTATATAGCAATTTTAAAATGATCAATGGATACATATATCACTGCCTAAGGATCTAAAAGTTGAAAATACAGTAACCAGCACGTCCAACAGCATAGTCCTGTGGCCAATAGCATAAAATGGCATAAGGTATCCACTGATACAGTAAATTGCGTAGCAATTAAAGTATGAGCTATAGATGGGTCAATTATCGCTAGAGATACTAGCGATTGGCCTTACATTGCTGATTATGGTCGCAATTACATTGTCGGAACCATTTAGTTAATCCTTTCAATGATCATACAAATTGTAGGGCAATTCTAAAATGATCAGTGGACAGATATATCGTTGCTAGCGATATCATCAATTTCAAATGCAGTGGTGGGTGTAGCCACGTACGTAGGCCTATACCTATTCGCATAAGCTATAGACTCATAATAAAAATTCTGTAACAATTCCAGAATGATCAATGAGTGGATCAATTATCGCCAGAGATATTGACTATTGACAATACAGTGCTGAGTATAGCCACCTGCCATGTATTATAGCCAATGGATTAATCTACTCATAGTTCATGTAAATTCTATAGCAATACAAGAAAGATCAATGGATTGATCTATTACCTCTGGAGACATTAGCGATTGACCATACCGTGCCAAGTACTGCCACCTATAGAGCACTAGAGCCATTGGGTCAATCCATATGCTGATCATCTTATTTTCGTGGCAATTCTAGAATGATCACTGGATAGGTGCATTATAGCTAGAGAAATTGACAGTTGAAGATAAAGAACTGTGTACAACAATCAACTCAGTACCATAGCCATTGGTATAAATTATACGCCGTAAATTCTATGGCATTCCTAGGATGGTCAATGGATAGGTCAATTATCGATAGAGATATTAACAACTGCGTATACAGAACTGAGTGCATGCATCTAAACAGGTCTATAGTACTTGTATTTGTTTATAAACTGGTCATACCCTTTCTGTAGCAATTCTAGAATTACCAATAGAAACATTAATTGTCGCTATAGATATTATGGAATGACAATACAGTAACCGGTGTACTTAACCATGTATGCCTTCACAGTAAAATATTATATGCATTAACATATTTACTGATCATGTTTGTCCTATAT